TCTAGCCCAGCTCTGGCTGGGCAGGGAGTATGCTTGCATGCTTCCCATCACCCAAGTCCTGTAGTGGGCTTCATACAGGGAATGCATCAGGAGCAGAACACAGCCCCTAAGTGCTTTAGTGCTGGACTTCTTCAGCCCAAAGCACTCAGGAGGCATGTTCTGTTCCCTGCTTGGCTGGGACTGACACATGGTCGGTGTTCCCTTGTGGGAGGGGGTGGAAGAAGCAGAAAAGCACACTGGCTGCTTGTACGGAGGTTCTGTCTCCTGAGTTGGGTTGTTCCCTGAGTTATTCTTCTACCAGAGTGGCCCCTTTTACTCTGGGAGAAAAATTATGAACTTCTGTGTCCCCGTGGTCTCTCCCAAGAGAGCAACAACTCTTCCTGAAGAAACTGAACATCTGTCCAAGCCCATTCCCCCATTTGTGAACTTGCAGCAACAGGAGGGCCAGACTAATTGAGAACAGCTGCAGTTGTGGCCATTACAGAGGTTAAGTGACCTGATGAAGTTTTGTAGTGAATCATGGACAGAAATGGGAATGGAATGAAGGTTTCCTGGCTCTCAGGCTCAAACTCTACACACTTGAAAATACTAACATGCTGTTGAACTAACTTCAGCTAGTTTATCTACATTGCCATAGTATGCTCTAGTTAAATGAGCAGTTGCCATAAGCAGGAATGTGGTTGCATGAGGTAGGGCTGGGAGAATATTGCCCAGTGAACTCATTACAGACAAGAGCTGTAATGCATGTTACACTTAGGATGTGCTAAGTGCACTTAAAACATGACAGTCACTGGCATAAGCATTCATAGAAAGTGAATTTTAAAGCCACATGCTCAAGTATTAACAAAAACAAAGTCCTGTGGTCAAGTGTGGTTCCAGAAGTTTGTATGGATCACTCCAGTGACGGTGCAGAAGCAATATCAAGCAACATTCAGCTAATCAAGAACAACTTGGATGGATACAGGGGATGTGTCTATATGTGTATTTATGCATGCTTAATGCGCCTTTACTTAAGGTGCATTAAGCCATGCATCTACATGTGGATGTGTTAATGTGCATTAAGGCACATTAAATTTAGGTGAGAACAGCTAAGTTGCATTAGTGCACATGCAGATGTGCTAATGCGCATTAACACAGTGTGTATCCATTAACATACACCACATTAATGCGCATTAGTACACATATACACGCGCTAATGCGACTTCACTATTTGCGCCTAAATTTGATACCTGCTTTATGCAGATATCAAATTTAGGCTCACATAGCCTTAAATCACCATTTTTAAGGCACATGAAGGGTGCGCACATGTAGACATGCACCCTTCATGAGCCTTAAAAATGGCAATTTTAAGTTAAGCCCGCTTAAAAGAGGCACGTGTAGACACGCCCAGCGTGTTGAAAACAGACACGATACTGACAAGGCCTTTGGGTTCCCCAGTACCCCGAATAGACAGTAGCTCATTCCTCCTTCCTTCTCATTCTCCCCCATCTTGCACTGGGACACTAGCTTGCTGCTAATGCACAAAGGAGAAAGGTTTCTATTGCCTTCTCCCACAAGAACAGACCTGCACACAGGAAGGGTCATAAAGTGATCGCCAAAAAGGAGAGCAGGTGCTCATTTTCATTCCTACAGGGAAATCTACTCTAACACAGAACACAGTCTGCTACAGCAAGGAGCAAGATAAGCAGGGGTGTTGCTAATACGTCTGATCTTATCTTATGTCTCACAAGATTTGATGAGGTTTTCCCCATAAAATCTCCTGATGGGATGGGAATATAGAATCTTACTGTTATCATCATCAAAAAGAAGCATCAAAACTCTTATGGGAGTGGAGGAAAAGTTGGCATCGTAACCTGAGTACATCAGAAGGGGTGAAACACTAAAAGCCAAGTAACAGAACCACACAAGCTCATACTTTTAAAGCCAACCTTGTGACATTTGAGGACTCGACCCTGGAGTTCTGACTGCTTGGAACTGATCATATGAATATTGTACATTTTGGAATGGGGAAAAGCAAGCTTTTGCTACATACTGAATCCCCTGTATTATGCAAGAGTATAGAAATATGAAAGAAGAACATGTGCAGCAAAGTAAAATACACCCTGCAGATTTGAGTCTCTTTCCTCCATGAATGACTGTGGCCCTTTGCCACAGTCTGCTGAACTCATTGGGATTCTTTCCACTGACTTCAATGGGCCATGGATCAGACCCTGAGCCTCCTTGAAAGGAACTAAGTCAGCAGAGTATTAGGCATCACATTGATTAAAAAAAAAAGCAAACTGCCCTTCATTAATAGTTAGGAAACCAATCATTGGTAGTTCCATAACACCTTCCACCCAAGCATCCCAGAGCATTTTATGCAGCTTCAAACACATCCTGCTCCTGCACAGAAGGGAAGCGTTACATTCACTGTACACCTGAGGCTCACAGGGCAGTAACATAACTGGAGGGGAGAGGGGGTGGCAAGAGCCATGGTGCCAACGTAGACAGGGTGCCAAAATGATGGCCCCCTCCCCCAGAGTCTTTGCTGCATCTGGAGCAGCTCTGCACTGCTCAGCTGTAGATACTGAGCAGAAGCTAGCTAGCCATAGGAGACAGGTGCTAGACATAGCAGGAGCAGCAGGAGTCCTTGAGTCCTCAGGGCAGGTAAGACCCTCTGCTGGCTGGGCAGTACAGGACTGCTGCTGCTGCCTGCTGGCACCCAGCTCCTACAGCTGGGCATCAGAGACTTCTCCAGCTGGTTTCCAATGGATAAGCAACACAGGTCTGTGTCAGATGTGACAAAGGAGTGCTTATGCCTCCCCCACAACCTGAAATTTTGCCCCAGGTCCATAAGGTGACAAAAAAAAAAAAAATCAATGGGAAGACACAAAATCAAAGACTAAAGAGCAATTCCTCTCCCTTTGTGACTGGGCTGGGCACAGTGGTTAAAGAATCCTTCTCCCACACTGTGGAGCAATTGAGAACTGCTTCATGACTGTAACTGTAGACTAAATGTAGGAGGACACAAGGGGTGATATGGCATGGGCTCTTACAATTCTTACTTGCCTTCTCCCGAGTCTTGCACAGGGAGGGGTTAGAAAGTTCGCATCCTGAATCCTGGATGCTCATTCCTTGCAAGTTCCTCCCAAATCCTGTTGCTTCATGAACTCACACCCAATCACATAGTGCAGCATAATCACATGCACTCTGCCGCCCAAGGCATTGTCTGGGCAGGCTGAATAAGTTAGCTAAGATCATGCAGAAAGAATAGATGGTGGGGGTGGTCTGTGATTCCCTCATGAAATCTGAACCACTGCATGTGTCAAAAAGATCCAGGCAAACTATGTGGGCCTAATTTTGAAAATTGGACCTTTAACCTTCACAAAGTTGAGAAACTTGATGGCATTAGCCAGGCAAAATGCAGTCACATGTTACACCAGAATCATTCAGAAAGGACTGTAAAACTGCAGTCTGTCAGCACCTCTGTTTCAAGCTCCACTTTTGTATCTTTCTGTTACACAAAACAAGAGAGGAGGAAAAAGAATGGCTGTAGCTGGTATTATAAAAAACCCCTAAATAAAGCAGTTCACATAAGGGAGTTAATCATCAAGAGAGATGCTTTTACAATAGATTCTAACCTTATTTGGAGCTCCTCCCCAACCATCATTTGTTATTCCTATTCAGAAGTGTAGGACGAAGTTATCCCTAAAGGCTGGTTCACTATAGAAGTTTATTGCAAACATTCTTTTGCAGAAATTCATACTGATAAGAGAAGAGCAACTTTTCGGAAAAGCTCCATCTTACTCAGCATGCATATTCTATACAGTAGGAAGGTGGCAACAAAGAGTTGATTTGCCAGCTGTTGGCAAACCAACATATATACATTACCTGTCATCCAAAAGAGCCACCCTCCACAGTGATTTGCTTAAAGCATGGTTCTTGACTATGTCGGAGCAACTTCAATGTCGCACAACAGCACTGCCCTGCAGAGCCAGCATAGCTAAGAGTAATAGTGGGTAGGGACCTACTGAATTCAGGGCAACTGCCTCCTGATTTTGCAGTCCCAGCACAGCATCAGGTGGCATTTTTGTAGTGGAGCACAGCAGCTCCCACCACACCTCTGGCTAAGGGGCACCAGAAGTCCCACCCCTCCCCAGAGATTGAAAGATGGCCCCAAACTTGTTAACGTGGCAGCTTCCCCAGGCTTGATCAGGGAATTAAGCCCACAGAACCCATTAGTTGCCATGTTATTAAACAGCCTAGGCCATGGTTAGTGGCATCTGCAGGTTTGATCAAGCCCAGGGAAGCCATTAAACACATCTTAGACTGCTTAATAACACAGCAATTAAAGGCTTTCCTGGGCTTGATCAGGGCATCAAGCTTGGGGAAGCCATTAATTGCTGCGTTATTGTTAAGCAGTCTAAGCACTTAATATGTAAAAGGCAATACTGTATTGAAATAAAGTAATGGACACCATGAAATGCAAGTAATACCAGCTTCATACACTTTGCCTATATATAGTTGGCATTATTTAATAAATACCAACTATAGACAGTTTATTAAATAATACCATCTAAATAATTAATCAAATTCTAAACTGAAATATCTTATGAAAATAAAGCTGTACTACGCACAACATAAATTGTAGCTAATACCAACTATATACACTTTATTAAAGACCTCATAAAATGGAGTTTACTGAAACTGACTGCTAACCTTAAGACAGTTAGTTCAGGCTATATATTAAATGCAAGCATGCTGCACCCAGGCACAGTGGCCATATAGTCAGGGCAGCAAAGGGTGCCTAGGGAAGACTTTCGCAGGTGGTAGAAAAGACACCACCTATTTGCTATTATATGCAGCAGGATATTGTTCAACTAGCTCACACACACACATGCTAGTATACTTTCGCTTGAGAATACCTTCCCTCAAATCCAACAGTTGCCTTATCTCTGTCAAGCAGCTTTCAAAACCTATGAGCATGTTGTCTACTTCCTACACTTAGACTTCCTTTTTTTTTAAAACTTTCTTCTTGAACTCTCCACTGAGGCTTCTGTCTCCTCCACTTAGCCAAAACCACTCTCAGCGAGGTCACCAGCTGCATTTTCCTTGCTTGAACAAGCACTCTCTCAGTTAAACTGGAATGAGCACTTCCTATGTTTTACCACAACTTGTCTGAAGCAGGTTGTCAAGCAGATGAAGTGCAGGTGGAGAAAAACATAGGTCAGCGCTGTTAGAGGCAGCCGACACTGAGGTAAGAATGGAAGAAATACTATAGCTGCACTACCACCTTGCTGATTACATCCTGTAGTATCACCTTATCTTGCTCTCCTCCTGCCATATCCCACCTCCTAGAATCCTTCAAGATGTGTCCTCTGCCCCTCCTCTTCGCCTCTATGGGCTCTCTAGATGAACTCTTCTGCTTCCATTGTTTCAGATACTTGAGGAAAGAAATAAGAGTAAAATAAGTGACTAGAGATTAGTGGAAACCTGAGCAATAGTCTGCAAGAGTTTTACAGCCTTGTGTCACACACAAGATGGCTTTGCTGATGATATTATTCAGTAAATACACCAAGGGAGTTCTGTAAATTTGGACTGAACATTATAAGGACCCCCATTCAAGGAAGCATTTAAACATTGTGCTATACTCTGTCGCCCTTGAAGAAATCACTTACCTCTGTATTTTAGCTTTGAGCACGGCCTTAAATCAAGGAATTAACCACACACTTCAAATTAATGACTTAAGTGGTCTTTTGTATAGGGATACTGTCCTGAATCAGAGTTCAATACAATGTCTCAACAAATCTTATTGAATTAATTTAACTTTGGTTGCATGAGAACACCATCTGGGAGTCTAACCAAAAACCTGTTCAACGTCTATGAATAATTCTATTACTAATTAGCGGTCTATCCATTTCCATTTGGTTGTCTAGGCCATTAGACCCAATGACCTCAGAGATGACTAACCTGAAAGAGTCTTTTACCATTTTGTTGTCTATCACCTCAAGGGTAATTATAAACAGCAATGTAGCAGTTTGGGGGTGGGTGTTAGGATATGTATTTACTATCATTAATAATTTAGAAGGAAGAGGCAACCATCATATTAATGGATTTTGGGGAATAGTAGCTGAGTGATAATAATAATAAAGCAATGCCCAAGATGTTGTTGGGTGAAAGATTCATGTTGGGTGAATAGTTTATTCTAAACAGTGATTACAGACAGTCGTGCTAAAGAGGGAAACAAAAAGGCAAGATTAATTAAAGTTCATGAAGAAGAATGACAAAGCCAAAACAATGACAAGGAAAACTTTCTGTGATTTCCACTATATAAGACATCAATGACACGCTTTCTTTTCATAGCCAGGGCTGGCTATACATCTCTTCTGTAGTGCTGAAGGCTCCAAATTGCCATCTGACTTATTTCCACCAGAACATGCAAATGCCATAGGACACATCTTATTAAATACATAGTTGACTGACTTTGTCTAATACAATTGATACATGGTGCCTCAAGTTGTCTGTTTACAATTCATGTCATATAACACCTGTTTATACAATTCTCTTCTACAGATCACAACACAGAGGTAAATAAATTTTTAATATAATTCCTTGGGCCAGTTTTTCAAAAATGAGTGCCAAAGCTGCAGACGGAAAATACGTGCACATGAGTGCAAACACCCAGGCTTGTGTACAATCACCTAATTTTGCATGGAAGTGTGCATTTTTCATAGATATTTTCAGTGTTCATGCTTGACTACAGATTGGCCATACATTACCTGTTTGTGTCCACAGATACAAAATTTTGAAAAATAGGGGTCTTTTTTACAGTTGCAATAGGAATGAGAAATGCAGACATTAGCAACTGTTCATGTCCCTGTAAGGCAAATGACAACAACACACCCTCATCAGTCATGAGCAAGAAAATGTGGCTGACAAGGTCCTAATGTTGCCTCATCTGGTGTCTACAGTCTAGATGGTATGCTTCTCTCCTATTATTATTATTATACAGAGGATTAAGCTTCTCTGCACCCCACCTTTCCCTTGCACCATCATATTATATATTACAGCGTGAGTCTTCAACAGAGCACAATCACTGTGCTTTATTTACCTCTTTTCCTCTGCCTTAAAAGCAACTGGGCAGAGATGAGCAGTGAAGATGTGAAGTGGGCTCTGGCCTCCCAGTACATCAACCAGCTGGGAGGAGCCAGCCTAAAATAAAGTATGCCACGCATTGGGTTCATGGTACTTTCTGCTTCCCAGGAGCAAGAAGGAAGCAGCGAAGGAGCTTTGCCTCTGACTGATATTTCTTTTTCAGGGCATTGCCTAGGGCAGTCTAGGTATCTGCTGCCCTATATGCAGGACTGACCTGTGCAGCACAGTCTAGCCCTTTGACACTGATAGATAAAGGGTCTACCTTGAAGCAGCTTGGGTATTCAGTACTATATGGTGTTTTCAGGTATATACAACTCCACACAAAATAAAAGTTTAGAAGGTGGATTTTGGCTACAAACTTCAGGACTACAAGGCAAAAACAAAGGCCTGTGATCCTCCTTAAACAAATGCAGCTTGAGAGAGACACAGAGAGAGAGACACACACACAAAGACAGAGAGAGAAAGAGAGATGTTTCTTATCCAAGAGAAATAGTAAACTTCCAGAATGTTTCAGTTCCAGGTACATAGACATATGTAGCACAGAGATATGTAAAGCCCAAATAAATATTTGTCACTCTCACACCAGCTGGCACACAGTGGGAGTGCAAATCCTTCCATTACAGATCTCCCATGTTTCCCTCTCCTCCCAAAAGCAAAGCACTCTGGCCATAACAAGCCATCTTTTAAAGCATACTGTGTGATGCATGCTCATTTGAGGCCATTTTGGCCATACGTGAATGCTAGCTCTTCAGGTCTTTTTCAGTCTTTATGCCATGATGGCTTCAGATATTAAAGTAAATAATATTCTAAACAACTTCCATACAATACGTTGATGCATAGGCCCTTACAGTTTGATCTGGCCAAGTTATACTCCACACAAGGCCTGAGGTGTGATGGGCAAAGCTAGCTTTATGCACCTTTGGATCTTGACAGGTGTTAATTTAATTGTGTGATGGGGATTGAACTAGTTTTAACCTGGATCCAGAAAATTGTGCATCCTGCCATGCCATACATGCATGGCAGTATGTGTAATTCTGGGCATCTGGGATAAAATGCGTCAGATCCTAACTGTGCAACAGGTAGGTAGGAACCTGGCATTGGGGCCTCAGTCCCCACTGCTGGGCTCCCCACCCACCAGGATATTCAGAGGGTGCTATGGGAAGCAAGATATCTGGGACTGGTCCCTGTTTCTCATAATGTTCTTTCAACTTGCCCCATCAGCTGATGGTCTCCCTAACACCTACAGCTCCCCCATCCCCAGCTGCCAGAACCATGGACCTGGAGCACAGACAGCAGGGGTTGGGGAAGCTTCATATTGTCCCAGAGCAGGTGGTAAATTTAAAATCCCACCATGCAGGCAGTTTTTGGCTGCAAGGCAGGGTTTTTTTTTACCTTACTACCTGTTCAATCTAAGATATTTCATAGATTACAGAGACATTAGGGCTGGAAGGGACCTCAGAAGATCATCGAGTCCAGCCCCCCGCCCAAAGGGCAGGAAGTCAGCTGGGGTCATAGGATCCCAGCAACATAAGAATCCAAATTGCTCTTGAAGGTGCTCAATGTAGGTGCTTGAACCACTTCTGATGGCAGGCTGTTCCAGACCTTGGGGGCTCAGACAGCAAAGAAATTCTTCCTTATGTCCAGCCTGAAATGGTCTTGTAGTAGTTTATAACCGTTTGACCTCATCATCCCTTGGGGCGCTCTGGTGAACAAATGTTGCCCCAGATACTGGTGGTCACCCGTGATAAACTTATAGGTGGCCATCAGATCACCCCTGAGCCTGCACTTTTCCAGGATAAAGAACCCCATAGCTCTTAGCCTGTTGTCATAAGATCTGTTTTCCTGACCTCTGATCATGTGCATGGCTCTTCTCTGGACTCTCTCAAGCCTCTCCACATCCTTTTTGAATTGTGGAGCCCAAAACTGGACGCAGTACTCCAGCTGCGGCCTCACCAAGGCCGAGTACAAGGGGAGAATGACGTCCTGGAATTTGCTTAAGAAGCATCTATGGATGCAAGCCAGTGTTTTGGTAACTTTACTAGCCGCAGCATCACATTGCAGGCTCATGTTCATCTTGTGGTCAATGATGACCCCCAAGTCTCTTTCTTCCATAGTGCTAGCCAGTGTAGCACTGCCGAGCCTATAAGGATGCTGCAGGTTTTTCTTCCCAAGGTGGAGAACCTTTGCCCCAAAGTTTGGTGTCATCGGTGAACTTGGCCAGTCTGCTCCTGACTCCAATGTCCACATCATTAATGAAGATGTTGAACTATATGAGTCCAAGGACAGAGCCTTGGGGTACCCCACTGGTCACAGGACACCATGATGAGTGACTGCCATCAATTACTATGGATGGGATCTGGGCACAAACATATTCTGCATACAATGGAACATATATTGTGGAACATTTTTGAGACTGGTTTCTCATTCTGTTGCAACAGGAATTGCCTGAAGGTGTGGCAGGGTTACTATTTATGAAGCAATTAACATGTTAATCATATCATAGGTGTAACATCTGCTAGGGCCCTTTGTCCCTCCTTACTTTGGGATGCTGGTTTGGCTCCAAGCTGAAGCTTGAGCAACTTCATGGTTCCTTTAAATTGTGCCTATGGCTGAGGTATGACGACCGTAGAGGTAGGGCTGTGTTTCAGTTTTGCTCCTTTTTTCCCAGGCACATACCCAACGCTGGGGCAGGATGGAGATGGTATAGAAGAGCTTTTACACTGGGTCACTGCCACCCAGGATCTGTGCTATGTTGGGGCAATCCTAAGGAATCAAGTTAAGACAGCTTCATGGAGCACTGGAGGATAGATAATGGGGCTATGGATCTAGGTCATAGATTTAACAAACTACACACCAGTTTATTTTAAAGTTGGAAAAAGTATGGAAGAGATTATAAGTTCTATGGCAATAGAACTAAGAGTTTTAGATCTCACAGGTCCACATGTCCACTTTCCCAGCAGTTTTCCTATGAAATATGACCCTTTCATACTCTTCATTGTCAGGGTGTAACTGTGCTCTCAGCTATTCTGGAGTAAACCCAATGAGCTTCACTGGTAATGCCAGTGAAGTCAAAAAGCAAAAATTAGCTGTTGGAGGCCATGCCCATTTCCTTTCTTTATTTTCAGTTACACAAGCACATGTAAAGTTTATTACTCAGCATTCTAATAAGTCTTTACACCCAATTCCTTGCTGGCATAGGTAAATACAAATCCATCAAATGAAGCATCCTGCTACATCCTGCAATGAGCCTTTCTTCTAGAATGAGAAATGTCTCCAAGACTGACTGCT